AGTGTCACGTATCACGATTTTTTTATAAATGACCCTTACTTATGCTCTGTAACTTTTTTTTTCAAAATTTTCGCTAGGGTAGAACAGTGTTAACAAAATATTATTTCGAATTGTTCTGTAGAACTAGTTGCTTGATTGTGGTCAATTTCATATATATATATATATATATATATATATATATATATATATATATATATATATATATATATATATCTCAACCGTGCGAAGCTAAAGTTAGTCGCTAGTTTTAGAATAACACCGATTTTCTCTTCGAGTAAGTAGATTGTTTTACAAGAAGTAACAAGATTTATTTTATTGTCCCGACGTAGAGTACCGGTCTATCTCAACTCGCTGTATCACATCTACGCGGAAACGATGCTGGCCCATTTCTCTATCTGGTCAAACAAGATTTATATTTACAATCACAACTTTGTACAAACAAATGAATGGTAAGGCTTGCATGTTATTTCTCATTTGAACTTGAATTATTTCATAGAAATAAATGTTATATAAGGTTTATTTTATAACTTTACATTTGCTTTAGCTAACCTAAATTAGCTGTAATGCTATAACAAATAACAAAATATAGTAATGCATAAATAATAATTGAATTATATGAATGAACTAGCAACCCACCCTCGCTCCACTCGGGTTCGTCCCTAGTTACGTTTTAATGTTTAGTATTGATTTCTCAGAGATGAGATATTTTCCCGCATCAAAAAGTATCCTATATGTTGGTCCGGATAACCAGATATCATACCAAATTTTATCAAAATCTGACCAATTGTTTTTACAGACAGACAAAAATTCTAAAACTATAGACTCGGCATCTGTATCGATAACAATTTCTATTTCAATAAGATTTTTCAAAAAATACCTATATTGTACAGATTCGGCTTGGTTACAATTTTATTATATGTATGATCTTAATATTATTTTTATTGTAGAATATATAACGTTTATCGCCTCTTTTGTGAAACGTATAAAACCAGTATTGGTTCTTGTAGTTACATAAACTTTTACCCAGAAACCGAGAAGGTTAAGTCCTTTGTAATACGGATATTTGAATTTTGTAATCAATTTAAAAAGGCAGCCAGTGGCGTAACTATCTATACCTCCTGAGGCCGTGGCAAGTTCATCGCATCGGATGGATCATGGGGCCCACCCTTAATGTAAAAAAACTTGACGTTGTAGTTTCATTTTTATAAATCACTAAGTATACAAGTACCAACACTACTATAATTATCATACTGCATCTATCTAGTAAATTTTAATTTAATGAGCGTAAGTATTATAATAAAAGAAAAAAATATTTGTAGCAAAATGTTTATGTTAAAATTGCTTTTTTCGAGCTTTCTGTTCAGCAAAACTATCAATGACAACTAGCAGCGAATTTTTACGCGTTGCTTTGCCCATCCTCAGTACCCACACTTATAATACTTGCGACATCAACTGATATTTTTTACTCAATGCTATTCTCCCCCAGCAGCACAAAACATATTATATAAAATTATAATCAGTTTGTGTTTCTCAGATTCCTTAGAAACAATTTATGTACCTATATAGATGGCAGGTACCTACTTCTAGAAGAATAACTTTAACCAACTAGAGAACAGATGTGAGATAAACCCTTCCCTCACAGAACAGAAGCGGTAAATAGAGTCTAAATTCTTTGTGAGTTTGTGTTTCGGCGCTTCTCTCGAGAAACAGTACTTTAATAGGCCTTTTATATTATGGACTATAATATAAATCTTTACGTGGGGAATGCCACAGCCCACAGGCTGAATATAATAGTGCTCATACAGCTAGTTGTTTTTCTCTGTAACAGACTCCGAGATAGATTTAATGGAATAATCTTATTTTATTACAATCGACTTACGTACTACTAGGTACGTTTTAATTTCTTTGAGCGGGACCGTAAACCTTTTTCTAAAATTAAAGTGGCTAAGTTACTCCTTATCACATAAGATATCTGCCAGTGAAAGTCCCATCAAAATTAGTCCAGCGTTTCGAAGATTAGCCGGAACAATCAGACAAACAGACTAAAATAAAAAAATGTGTTTTTCTTCTAAATACTATATATAATTTCATATGCATTTAGTAAAAAACTTTTATTTCGATATTACAAACAGACACTTCAATTTTATTTATCTGTATAGATTTGCAATACCAATTCAATTATATGCAAATCCAAATACAAAAACAAACAACACCGCGCCTTGAAAGGAGCTAATAAATGTTGACAGAAGCATTTGTGCAAATCAAAACTATAAACAAACCAACATAACATGTAATGCATAAATAATAGAGGTCATAATGGCACATAACAATTGACACGTATACATTAATGTAAGATGTATACCGTGAAATCCAATGTTCGACCTAATCGGGTGACAATTTAATTAGTGAGGCAACGAGTTATAGCAGTGCAGTGGTAGAGGCCAAGGAAAATTAAATAGAAATATGTTCAATTACCATAGTCAATTCAGTGCAAGTTCAATTAATTGACGACACGTTTGGCTTAGTTTGTAGTGACCCTACTTGCTGCGCCAGCGGTCGCGGGTTCGAGTCCCGCTGGGGGCATTCATTTGTGTGATGAGCACGAATGTTTGTATTCCAGTCATGGGTGTTTAAATTTATAATATTTATGTATTTAAAATTATAAATATGTAGTGTATGAACTATCTGGTATCCATAACACAATCTTCCTCACAAGCTTACCATGAAATTAGATGGTACTGTAATATGTTAATGTCTCAGCATATTTATTATTTATTTTAGTCTTTATGTAAAAGGAAATCACTTTACTTTTAGGTTAGACTACTACTTACTTTAGTGGAATATAATGCAGTTGTCCTCTTCCCACTAAAATCAAGACAACATCAAGGATCGAGTAAGTAACCTATGCGGTTGCAAGTAGGTACGGCCAATAAAAAGTGTTACTGTACCACGCCTGCTAAATAATTAGCTATTAAATAATAGGTAAGTATAGACTATAATATGAATTAAAAAAAATATTTCACATAATTAAGGTATAGAAAATGTTAACACGTCAGACATTTTATAAAACAACTAGCGAGTCACCCTCGCTTCGCTCGGTTTCGTCCATAAGTTACTTCTCCATATAAACTTTCACCCCAATTTTCACCTCCTTAAGGGATGATTTCCTAAATAAAAATTATCCTATGTCCTTTCCAGGGTGTCAAACTATCTTCTTACCAAATTTCATCTAAATCGATTCAGTAGTTTAGGAGCCTATTCGATACAAGCAAAGAAATAAAAAAACAAATTTTTCCTCTTTACAATATTAGAATAGATTTGACTTTATTGTTATAGTACCCTACTTCACATGATAAAATCATATCCGTCCATTATGAGGCTAGAATTTTACTTTCAACTTTATCTCGAATTACGGTCAGACCTAGTTTTAAATTACAATAAAAATTTAACTTGAAAAAGTTATAATTTGAAACAGCTTTTACTCGGGCAAAATAAGTAAAAATACGAAGATATATTTTTATAAGACCTTCAACTGGTATCCTGTTTCATGCAATGACATTTAACTGCAGGTGAAGAAGTAAACCTTGGCATCAGAAAACTTAAATGTACTTATAAAAGCGTCCACTTTGACTTTCACTTTGAAAGTGTATATAAAAAAATATATAAGCAAATGATGATCGTGGTTCAACAGATAATGTCTGCACGGCTAGATAGGACGCAAATCAGAAGTTGGATTTCCGAACGGGGTAATGTCAAATTTGTTCCAACAGATGTTGGTCCCGAATCCCAACTCGATTAATAAAAAGCGGGGCAGAAAGTTACACATGCCGCTCTCGATATTGGTGAAAAGAAAATGGAATGAAGTTGGTAAGAAGAAAAAGAAGTACGAATTAGAGCGTCTTAATATTTTCTACTTTTAGTCTAGGCGAGTATAGAAAAACAAATAAAATAAATGAACACCTTTCGAGATCGAAAATTATACAATAGAGAGTTTATTCTTTGTAAATAAATGTACACATTTCAACTGTATATTAAAAGCTTTTGACCAAATGTAATATATGAAAGTTATTAAAAACGAGCAAAGGAGCCCAAATTGGATACCTCACCTCACTCTTTAGACCAGAGTTCGTCAGACTATCTTATTAAGTAGTACTAAATTATATTGTCATCCATATTTCACATACTAAATTTCAAATTAATAATTAAAAGTAAGTTAAATTGATTGCGAAAATTTGATAACATAGTTACTATTTTGCAAGTTAAGCAAATAAAAATGTTTTAATATTACATTGGAATTCGTCTGCAACTCCGAATTCCCGCAACTCCAAATTGCGGAACGAACGCAAAAGTTCAGTAGTTTGAGTGAGTACCCTGTGGTCTAGACCGTTTTTAATAAAGTATGTGATATACAGGTTTCTTATGAGGGTCTGTTTTGAATCAGTTACAAAAATTACAAAATGTCTCAATCTTTACAGTTTTAACATGCTTATATGAACTCGACACTGTACGTAATGCTGTTAGGATTGTCACAAGATGTTGGACTGTTCGTTATATAAATGTATAGCGTAAGTTAATAATGTAGGAACTTTATCCTCATTATAACAATATGGAAAATTATTTTCTTTTAACATAGGTATTATAATTTGTTTTTTTTTTGTTACCATGAACTCTCTTCGAAGATTAAAAGAGTTTTATACTTTGTCTTTTGAATTATTATAAGGAGTGATTTCATATCTATTTGTGTGATAGTTTTTCATGTAAGATTTGAATTATGATATGGAGGTATAGCTGCATAATATAATTAAATAATAATTAATCTACACAGCCAATTAACCAAGTTAAAAGATTTTATCTTTTTAAAACAGTAATTCAAACTTTCTATTTCCTTTCCTTCTCCTATTTCTAACAACAAACTTTATTACCCTTACCCAAGGCTTATATAAAATAAATATTTAATTATTTTTTCATTTAAATATTTATGCCTTTTTTTATTCACTTACCGAATATGAGCAAAGCACGCAAATCCCGATATAATAGCACAAATCCAAAATCTACACAAACTCACTATAAATTTTAATAAAAATTAAAAAAAAACTAGGTCTATAATTGAACGATGGTATGTACCACTGCTGCGAGTGTCGGCTTAACACTGACGCGTAGGAAGAGTAGGTCGCCACCACTATGTCACTCGAGAGTCGAGCTGGTACTTTCTAAGGAAATTGAAAAATAAGTATAACAATAAGCTAACATTAGTGCTTATTTTATATAAAATTATATACTTACATCTTATTTTCAAAATATTTCTACCAACATTTCATATAGAAACGTAGTCGACCGGTACAAGCATCCGCAGCCGTTTTTCTAACTTTCTTTGACCCCAATTCAATTGGAACGTTTTGGTGTGCATTTTATAACGTAATGTTATGGTATTTTCGTTTTCGAGTCGATGGTAAAAAGTGAAATTTGTTACATTACATATTAATATGTACCTAACTGGTATTACTGTTTATCACGCGATTTATTTCTTTTAAATGATATATAGTTCATAAATACCTTACCTAATTGTTTTTTGTTAAAGGGATTTATCTGTGATCTAGATGGCACAACACATCGGATTAAGAGAAATTAAAAGTACTGCCCTACCCATTACTTAAGTGATGGTAGGGCAGGTATCTACAGCCAAAATTATCAATAAAACCAATAAAACCTTTTTATTATAATTATTTACTTAATAATTGAAGTTACTGCCTGTCAGTTTTTTATCTCGAAAAGAACATTTACCTATCCCGGCGGAACCGGATGTAGAAATTATTTTAAAATTATTCTATTATATTCTTTGAAGAGAATGTTTTACTAGTCTATTCTAAAATTATAAATGCATGGTCCGGTTCCTCCATCTTTCACGCAGTAATGGAAAATTGGATCAATGGAATTATTTCCATAAAAAATTTATTGGACATTTATGTAGGCTGTTTTCAAAGCCCGTACGTTAAATAGTGAAATATCAGATAGGTACTTATACTTATTTTTTCAACGTAGCATAGTCCGGGATTAAAACTTTTAAATGAAGCTAACTCTCTTTCGAGTTCCACTATGTGACAAAAAAAAGATAAATAAAATATGGCTGTGTCAGTTACATAAAACGTTGATATGTGAAGGATTATTTTTTTGTTTTTAAATTGTTATTTAAAAACTTTAACGAATACCAGCTTTCCAGTGCAGCGTAGCAATAATGTCTCAATCACTAATACGTTACGCTTCAAGTATAATAAATTGTATATATTTTTAATATACCTATTTAAAAAGAAATAAATTACCTTATGTTAGTATTTAGGTTTAAAGGAAGAAATATTACGTTCATTAATCATTAGTTAAAAGGAACTGTTTGTCTACTGTCACCCGCACCATGGATCTCCAATAATTAAAATATTATAAATGGCATAGTCGATATATATTATATATGTGTGTATTTAACGTTTATATTCAGAATACTATTCTCACAATGCATTCTAGCTCTGGCCTCTGATAATATAGAAGCACATACTTACAATTTATAAACCATGTTTATTTTATAATTATTATGCCGCTTGGTTTAGTAGTTTTCACAATTTTGTATATAATTATTGAGATTGAATGTTTGTTGCATTAAACACATCGTTGACCTCGTAACCAATAAGATGGAGTTTCATTTCAAGGCTTATACCGCAAAGTTATTCTATAATATTATCATATTTAAGTGTGTATCGTGCACCAACCAATAGTTATCTAAAGTTAAGTTTAGCACTAAATTTTTATATCCGTAATAAGATACAGGTTAATCACATTTTCTTAACTTACGTGCTTAATTGCAAAATACTATAAAGAATTCTTTCTCAAATGACTCTTTATAAGCGCTAGAGCTTTTTATAGGAAGTAATAACAAAATCTTCAGTAAGAATTATAGTTTGGGATTCTATCTTACTGTATTTTAGCAGTTCTACGGTTACTATAGTGCAGAGATTTAAAACTGGATTCTTATAGCGTTGTAATATAGTTTTAGTATCAACCACGAAAGAAGAGAAAAAATTAATAGCATTTTTTTTATTGAAGGTATAACAGGGATGGTTTAAATATAAAAAAATAAGAAAAGTTCAGAACTGGTTATTTTGTATGGGAATCACTACTTCGGGTTACTTTCAATAGTGGTGGACCTATTATCTACAACAATACGTCAAGTTTAAGTTAGAAAAAAATAATATATGTTTATAACAGTATATAGTCTATCTATTCTATACTATTTTAAATGCTATTCTTGTTTATCTACACAGGTAAATCTCACGAGCTATCATATAAATTGTGTAATGTAATAAATTGTTGGGTTTGATTTAATTTAAAGTTTATTTTCTTCTTTTTAGAGCACTTAAATAAAAGCTTGTTTTAAAAAATATATTTTACTATTAATTTATTTTTTATTTTTAGTTCTTATTTTATTGGTATTCTTCTCAGCAAACCCTTTCATTTGATATCCATATCATGGGGGTGCATAAAAAATGCTTGTCCGCCATTTTTAGGAATCCCCCATATCGGATTTAGAGTGACGTCAGCAATCCCTTTTATTTGATACCCCTATTGTAGGAGTGCATTAAAAATAACTATCATGGATGACAAAAAAAATAGATGAATTAGTTCCATATGAAAACTATGTAGTCTGCCATCTTGGGCGCTCCGCCATGTTGGATTTAGAATGACGTCACACAGCTAGCCGTGCATTGTCATCTAAACTAAACGTGTATATACAAACAGCTCAATCTGTTGAAGAATAGCGATGGGTCGTCGACGTATTTAGCGTGAACGAAACTAGACCGTTCATTTTCTTTCGTCGACTAGTCGATCGACTAGTTCAAATCGTGGACTGTGGTTCACGAACGCTTCAATGTAGTTGTAGACGCTAGACAGTCTATAGTTACTAGTTTACGTTGCGAGACGGACTGTCTTAGTCTATGAATTGAACTAGTTCATTTGAAATACGTGAACCGTCAACGCATCGTCGACCGGTTGATTGAACTAGTCCGTTGATTTAACGCCCATCGCTATTTAAGAAGAAGATATCTGCTTCAAAATTGAGTTGCAAGATTCCACCCGGAGAAACATACATAAATACATTGCAAGTTAAATAAAAGCTTGTAAAAACAAAGTCTTTTTTTTATCTTCCGTGTCAACCAAACTTTAAGTAATTTTAATAATAAAAGTAAAAGAAGCAGTGACGGCCATATTTTTAGTTTTATTATTTTTAGTGGCAATACTTACATAGACAGGCTAAGACAAAACGGTTCAGTACTTTTTCTCAACTGGTTGTCAATCGATTTTTTTTATTTTTTTGGTATCAATAAAAAAATTGAAACGGTTTTTATTTTATGTAGATATGTAAACTTTATTTATATTATTATGTTTTCCTCTTCAGTAATGAATATGGTCGAATTTCGACCATTGAGTGAAAACTAGTAGGTACACTTAAATAGGTGAACGAGACAGGTTATAGATACTAGGCAAATCATAATCTAGTATGTACTCTATATTATTACATATTTCATTTCTATAAATTTAAACATAAACCTTTTATTGAATAAACTAGCGATTCACCCTTGCTCTGCTCGGTTTTGACCCCAGTTACGTTTTAACGTTTAGTATTGATTTCTCAGAGATGAGATATTTTCCCACAGTAAAAAGTATCCTATCGGTGGACCCGGTAAACCAGCTATCATTACCAATATTAATCGAATATAAATATAATACCAAATTTAATCAAAATCTGTCCAGTAGTCTTCTCGTGATGCTGTCACAGACAGACAGACAGGAATTCGAAAAACTATAAATTCGGTCTCTGCATCGATAACAATGACTATTTCAATAAGTTTTTAAAAAAAATATTTAATATACAACAAACGGACCATAATAAACATTATACCCCCCAAAAAATGTCATAGTTCCATGACTTGGCGTCAAGGTAATTCTCTCGCCGTATATTTATACAATAAAATTAATAAAATTCTTAATTTTTACCCACTCACATTACGTGAATGTCAAAAAAAAGTTAGAGATTGGCTGCTTACACTTAGCTATGAGGAAACGGAAAAGATATTAGAAAGAAATTTATAAAATGCTGAACGAATACATACGCACACGCACATACACACACACACACATGCACATACACACATACACACATACACACAAATATACACTTACTCACACATATACACCCACACACACACACACACACACACACACATGTTTTATACTGTATTTTTACGTAACTTCACTTAGTACATTTTTGTTAAAGTTAATTTTTATTTTACTTTTATTTTATCTCTTTCTTTCACAAAGAATTTCTAAAATTAAGTTAAACATGCACAGTAATATTATTGACCTCCAATTATCATAAAAGATGGAAGAGGGCGCTGACTCCTGACATACAGGTTTATTCTAGTTTGGGAGTCAGAGGCTTCAACAGGCTTATGTAACAACAAACAATTGTGTCAATAAAGATTCTATTCTATTCTAATATACAGATTCGATTCAGTTAGAATTTGATTATATGTATAGATAACTCAAGGACACATCCTGTGCTTACACATGAACAAAGCAAGGGTATGTGCAATCTTTTCGTAATGCTTTCATCATTGCTATTCTGTAAGAACTTTTATCTCCTCTGCAGTTAAATTGCTTAATTAGCAATGTTATGCTAAGTGTATCTAACTAAAGTCGACATTGCCGATTGTGCTGCAACGAGGTGGGTGGCGCTATGACGTTGGGACTCGGGAGATTTATTAACAGAATTCCAATTCCAAAAAGGAGGAGGTTCTCAATTCGTCGGAATCTTTTTTTTATGTATTATAATATTTTAAAGATGTATTTCACATTCCGTAATAGTAGGGGAGGCTATAACTTGTAGCGTAGCATTTCATGTAATCCTTTTTTTGCCTACATAACTATAATTTTCTTCTACTACATTGGCAAATTGAGGGTCAACTATACGACTACACGTTTGCCTCAGTTTGTAGTGATCCTACTTGCTGTGCCACCGGTCACCAGTTCGAGTCTCACTGGGGAGTTCATTTGTGTGATGAGCACGAATATTTGTACTCCAGTCATGGATGTTTATATTTATAATATGTATGTATCTATTTAAAGTTATATATGTGTACTATATCAACTATCTGGTATCCATAACACAGGCCTCGTAGCTTACCATGGAACTAGATGGTACTGCCCTATTTAAAAACTCCAATACGATCCCTTCAAAAGCGACAAAAGCCACATAAAAACCAGTAAATATTTATTGGTTTCTATGTGGCTTTTGTCGCTTTTGATGGGATTCTATTGGTGTTTCTCAACAGGGTGTGTGAGTTCCAACATATTTATTATTATTATTATATTTAAGTAATGGTTTGTAGTTAAAGACGACAGCTAGTCAGCATCTGGATGGATAATTCTCTGGACTTGGGCGATATGTATATAGCTTTTAATAAAAATATTATCTATTACATCCGGCGCAAGCGTCTACATCACAGACTAAGTTGAGACACACGAGGAGATCAATTGGCCAGTGAGTGAAATCTGATAAATGGCCGAACTGCAGTGTATTCAGATTTCGGGACTTAACTATTATGTTATTAAAAAAATAAAGTTTATATGCATGCATGAAAATGCAATTGAGAAATTTACTTTTAATGTGATAAATTATTCCTAAAAAAATTGAGGCGTAGGTCGGTATGGATCTTAATTTATGTATTGGCTTTAAAATTAATAAGTATTAACCATGGATGACAAATAAAAGTATTAACCATAGAGTATATTGCTACATATATAAAGTATTAACTATTAAGTAATATAGTTTTTTTTTCTTTAGTGGCTTAGAGTTACCATAACAGACGCAATATATTCTGCCAGTGTTAACTGTCACGTACGTAAGTAATATAGTGGGGAAGAATTTAGGCTTTTGTTCCGCCAGATGTCGCGATCCCTATGGCCCTCAGTATATTGTAAAGATCTATAGCGTGGATGGTATTTTTTCCATTTTATAGCTTCGATCAACAATACTACCAGATAACGTGTCACATACAAAATCAAAGCTAAATTCTGTCCGCGCGAATATGCACTTATACAGCTTCATTTGTATACTAACGAACCAAGACAAAGTCTTATAATAGTTTTATTTTCAACCAAATAATAATAAACTTCACGCAACTGTATGAAATTGAATTATATAAGCCTTTACTGTTCTAATCAACACCATATCACCTTGTAATAAAGTCACAAATCTTCGAAGTACCGTCATACATTTACGATCATTTCGTAAGTTTTATAATCTTTATTGTAAAATCAATCTTATTACTATTAAAAATCATAAAGCACGTTTTGCCGTTCTTGCTTTGTAAGCTAAATCGTTATGTTTTGTTTCTGTTTGCTTCTTTGAATTGGCGCGTATATTGGCCGACCTGGGCCAATGTTCTTAGCGGATTTAAAAATGTTCAAAATTTCATTTTTATTTTATTTCTTAGGTTAAATCTTAAAATATTGACTTAATTTACATGTGATTATCGAAAATAAGACACTCCGTCTGAAAAATTTATTCTTCGCGCATTAGTGTTGCAACTTTTAAATATATTGACATGGTACTGTGAACGTGGTTACGTTGGCAGTATTTCAATAGAACTAATCGAAATATACGCTCACTTTGCAAGTGAGCTTATATTTACCGAGTCGGATTTCTTACGCCTACGCGATATCTAGTGGTATTGTTGATCGAAGTTTTATAGATATCAAAACCAGATAAATGTAAATAGCTTTAATTTACAAATTTTAATTTAAGATCAAACAATTAATTTGAATATCCAAAAATAACAACCGTTTGTTTATTTTTTAAATTTTCACTTCTGTTGGCAGTCCTCATGACTGCTTTTTATATATTTTCTTTCTTTCTTGTACTCTTTACAAATTAATTACAGCGTTTCATACAAAATTTCATCTCCCATCTTACTCCCATAAAGGAATGAACATCGAAAAATGCTAAAACATGTATTTATTTAATTGTATTGAAGACCATAAATACCAAGTTTCAAGTAATTCTGATCATAAAAATAATTATTTGCCCATATAAACAACTTTATTATACCCTTTTATATATTTAAGGGATGAATTTAGTAAAAAAAACAAAATATTTATAACTTTTTACCTTAAAGTTAAACACCACTTTTCGTATATTTCACATAAAGAACGACAGAATCTCATACAATCTTAAATCCCCTATTTTATCCACTCAGGGGATGAATTTCGAAAAATCCTTTCGTATCGGATGCCTACATCATATGAAGTTTACGTCCTGTGTGTTGATCCATCAATCAATCAGAACCATCGCAGGATGCACCTCTCCATCTTAATTCTTCCTTCAGCAAGTCTAACTTCCAGATACAACACATTGCACAGGTAAGATGCAACACAATAGAAGCAAAAAAGCAAATATAGAAGAGATATCACAATAAATTGCTTAACCTCAGACTGTATGTAAATAGGCCATACGTGTGGCGCCCTCCTTTCGAAAAATCTTCCCTAAACGGGGAATAAAGTTGGTACCTACATCCTAGTGACAAATGTCATCTTACAATTGACTTTAAAAGTGTCAGGCGCAAAGAGTATAGATATATACTGGTCAGGCGTCAGCTGTCAAATGTACACAATATCAATAATCAAAAATGGCGAGTGTTCCTATCGGAATAAAAACTCACGCTCAAAAAGTTTGTAGCCTTTATAAAAGGGCTTTGCGAAACTTAGAAGCGTTTTATGATAGACGGTAAGTTTATAAAGTATGAAGATTATCAAAAAAAAATTATTAGGACGTTACGTAACTGCTTGTTTTAATAAAAATTTACAGATTTTTTTATATTTTTTATACTACTATTTTTACAGTTAATACATTGTAAACTGAAAAACTGTCTAAGATAAATTGAAACACCTATAACACAGGTTATTTTTTTATTTTCAAAGTAGTCGCTTATGTAGCATATTGATTTGGTAACTAGATTTTTATAATATATTGTAGAGTGCTTCGTTTTTCTTATTAGGGATAAAATATTTTTTGTAAGTATTTAATATTGATACTTAATTTGTAATTTATCGATCTTATGTATCTTAGATGCAGAATAATGTATGGTTAATTTTGAATCTTAATATTTTAGCCATGTTTACCGTTACCAAGCAGTCCTGCTTCGAGAGCGTTTTGACAAGAACGCAAAAGTTACAGACTCCCGCACAGCTGCTCAACTGCTTAAGGATGGAGAAGAAGAACTTTTCCTCAACCAGCATCCCATTCCAAGGAAGTGTAAGTTAACAAATGTTGATTTGTCCAGCTTTTAATATTATTTAACTGAAACAAACAATCCATTTATGTCGTATCTTCTATCTGTTCCAATTTAATTTTTTGATTTTAATTTAACTTTATACTTTTTTTGATAGACAATCAATAACATCTGATATGTTGAAATTTGTTATTACTAATAATTAAAACAAAATTGTTCCTTATAGTCTTTGCAAGACCAAATAACAAATAAAGGGAGCATATCCATAAGGCCTCATTTCCGCCCCTGAATATTGAAAAAAAATATGTTATGTGATTTGATCTCTTTACATATTCTGAAAGTATACTGTGTGCCTGATAAGATAATATATTTATGAGAGAAATCTACAATTAATTCTACTTGTGACATGCCAAATTTTTGTTTTTTATTAAGAATATATTGTACCAAACTCTAATTGTCCAAGTTTTGTGTGATGAGGAAATAAATAAATAAATTTAACCTAAAATCAGCTTGAACTTCCTACCTATTTTATATGCTTATATGTAATACATATCAGGAATAACATTTAACTGAAATGGCAAAACAATCAATAAATAATCTATACATATTATAATAAAGTTCTAAATCGAATCTGTACATTAAATATTTTTTGGAAAATCTTTTTTTTTTTCTAGGTAACAGTACTAAAATATTGTAACCTAATATTATTACGATCTAGCCAACAAGGCTAATGAGTAATTTAACTTTAACTTAGTTTTATAAAATAATATATCTAAGAATGTGTCCAATGGCACTTTTCTTAAAAGTCTCTAGTTAAGGCGAAGACACTTTGTTCTTGTGTTCTATATTGGTAGCACTATAATATTATTACTTTCACTACATTACACTATTTTTTTAACACTACACTAACACAAAAAGTTTAGTTCTTTTGAGCCTTCTCACTATGTCTGTGTTGTCGAGGAGCTGGATTGCCTCAATATTCACATGTTTATGAAGTCTTTGCTCGTGAGCTTCTGCGTATTTTTTTATCACTTTATCGAAAATCTCTACGTTGAGGTCCCGATGGAGATCGTCATTTCTTATGTACCAGGGTGCATTAATTATTCCCCTGAGAACTTTATTTTAGAATCGTTGGATGATAAGAATATTGCTCTTTTTGGTACAGCCCCACAGCTGTATACCATAGGTCCACACTGGCATCAGGACTTGTTTATATAATAATATTTTGTTGTGCACGGACAGAGAGGAATGTCTTCCCAACAGCCAATACATCTTTTTGTACCGGAAATCCAATTCTTCTTTTTTTTCTTAACGTGAGCTTTCCAGCGTAGCTTCGCGTCAAGCGTCGTTCCTAAATACTTTGCTGTATTTTCATATAGTATGATGTTATTGTTAATAAATATCGGATGGTAATCTTCTTTTTTGTTGGTGAAGTTTATATGAATCGATTTTGATTCATTTAACTTTATTCTCCATTGTAATGTCCAGTCATGGATTTTATTAACCGCTATTTGAACCTTTTCAGCTGCTTCAGCGTGAGAATTTCCAACCGCCATTATGGCAGTGTCATCAGCAAAGGTCGCGATGGTATTATTTTCTAATTCGGGGATATCACTGGTGTATAAAAGGTACAGGACCGGACCCAATACGCTTCCTTGTGGCACCCCAGCTCTTATACTTTTAATTTCAGAGTAGGCATCTTCGTGCCTTATTCTAAATACTCTGTCTGATATATACGATTCTAGTATATCCGAATATGACTTAGGTAGCATTTTTCTTAGTTTTAGTACAAGGCCATCATGCCACACTTTATCAAATGCCTGTGCGACGTCTGGAACAGACAGTAGAACGGACAGTAGAGCAGACTTGTTTTTCCTCTAGAGTTTTCTCGATGATATGTGTGATTCTATGGATTTGGTCTATTGTGAGTGTTTTTCCCTGAATCCCAATTGGTGGTCTGGAATAAGTTGGTTTCTAATGTTGGTTTTATCCTCTTTAGTAAAAGTTTTTCAAATAGTTTGGACATTATAGGTAATAGGGAAGTTGGCCGGTATGATGTTATCTCATTAGGCGGTTTTCCTGGTTTCGATATCATAATTACTTCTGCTACTTTCCATAAATCTGGCACTTATATTTCAGCCTTAGGGCAGCGTTAATAAGATTTGTTAGCTTTACTAGGGCTCTTTTTGGTAAACTGTGTAGTATTTCGCCTGAAATAAGATCAAATCCAGGTGATTTTTTTGGATTAATATTATGTTTGATTTCCCTCAAGACTTTTCTCGGTGAAACCAATTTTATATTTAGATGGTCGTTTAGCACTTTATCTGTTAGAAGTTCATAATCTGTTTGGCATTCATTTGGATTAAATGTGTTTTCCAGATGATCAGCAAAGCATTTGGCTTTTTTTTCATTGCTAACAGCCCATTTTCCAGGTCCAATTTTTTATTGGTGGTATTTGAGTAATCGGCTGTTTCATATTTTTAGTGTCCTTCCAGAGCAAGTAGTCCGTGCAGCGATCACTTCTTAGGTTTTGGAGATAGGTTTCCGTTGAAGTATCAAGGTAATTTTGGATTTGCCTTTTTAACAATTTTGTGAGATTATTCAACTTTTTCTTGTCTTGTGGAGATCTGGATTGGTGCCATAGATTTCTTTGTTTTCTCTTATCAGATATAAGTTGTGTGATCTCTTTAGGATAATTATTTTTTCCCGTGGCCCTTTTCTTAGTTTCGGGTGTGTTTTTCCAAGCTGTCTGCTGTATTAATGTGATGAATTTTCCTAAGTCTATGTTTAGCTGTTCCGGAGTTTTAAGTGGTACTCTGAGATCTACATTCATATCTAGTTCTACTTTAAAACTTTCCCAATCTGTATATTTGTTAACTAGTGTAATGTTAGGTTCTTTGTATAAGATTTTTTCACGTATTTCTAGATATATTGCAGAGTGGTCTGAGTTCATGTCGTATCTCTGTTCTGTGCGAATATAGCTGGACGATAGACCTTTGTATACAAAATGTCTATCAGATCAGGTACTTTTGTTGGATCAGTTGGCCAGTAAGTGGATGACCTTGTTGATTACCTAGACCTTGATGCCACATCACATTTCATTTCGTGTATAGCACCCATAAGTTCTCTTTTGTGTTCGTTAATCTGAAGCCCCAATACACATTCTTGGCATTAAAGTCACCTCCTATAATAAATCTATTACCTAGTGATCGAAACAAACACATGAAAGTGTCTTTTCTTTGAAAGTGTATATCGCGGTGGACAGTATAAAGATGCTATAGTACTCGTAAGAGGATACCGCTTTGTGCTGACACAAATTGCAACAGGTTGGATTTCAGGATCTTCATATTTATTTACCTCATAATGTTTGATATTTTTTTTTACAATAATAGCACTGCCACCATTTCCTTTGTTAGCCGGATGTATTGCATGTTAAACTTTATATCCTTTAAACTTAATGTGTGATTGTTTCGTAAAATTAGTTTCTGATATGAGACATACATCTATATTTTCTATATCTAGGACTACTTGTAATTCGTTGTGGTGATTCTGTAGCCCATTACAATTCCATGCCATAATTTTAAGTGTATTAATCATTTTGGTCTTGGCATAGCCTTTTTAGCGCTCCCCCCCAACGTGCGTTCACCTTGTCGTGGTGGAGGGGCTCAGTAGTGCCCGGCAATCCAACCGGGCGCGAAGCTAAGAAACGCACAGGGAGGTTGCCCACTTCGGTGGGCGGGGGGAGGTGGCCCTCTTCGGGGGGCGGTGTACCTTCGGGTTGCTCCTGGTACTTCTCTGATAGCAGAGTGGACTGTGGAGCAACCCCATGGTTGTGGTGGTCTGCTTCGGCAGACCTGCCGTCGGGGCGTCGTAGTTGAATGCGCAAGCGATCCTGCGACGCCCCATTAAGACGGGGTAAGGTTTTGTTGGGTTTTAGTGGGTAGTACTGGCTGTATTACGCCGGTGAGTCCCACACGTCGTGCGTAAATGCATTTCCCAACGTTAAAAAAAAATAAAAGCCTTTTTAGCGCTATTTTCTATTTTTTTAAGGCGCTCATCAAATGACGTCATGAGCTTCAAAATTTCATCTAGTTTATTATCACTAGATTTGGTGTGCTCTTTGCGTTGAGCAGTTGTAGAGCTTGTAGCAGCAACTTGAGCGTAAGAAATACTTTTGTTTGTAGGTGGAATAGTTCTCGATGTAGGATTTTGCTGGTTGTTAGCAGGTGGTTTCACACTGGCAACATGTTGTTGTCGCGTAACTAATGGTTTCTAGGCAGTCTTATTTCTTAGTTTTTGAATTTCTTTGGCTATCATGCAGCCTCTATAATTAGCTGGATGAGCTTCACTGCAGTGCACACATTTTGGTTTTTCTTCTGCTGGTTTTCTGCAGTCTTTCGTTAGGTGTTTGCCTGTGCATTTTACACACCTTGGCTCTTTGGCGCAGTACTTTTGTGTATGTCCGTATGCCTGGCACCTCTTACACTGGGGTATAAGTTTTGCGGATCTAAAGGGTTGTATCTCAACTGTGCACCCTAGTATCGATTTAATATTGTATATTTTGCTTATATCTTCGTCGTTGTTGAAGGTAAGCATGAACATAATAAGTGGCTCCTTGTTTTTCCAGCTCAATTTATTTACTGCATCCAGTATTTTGTAACCTTTAGCTTTTAGGTCCTCCATGATTTTCCCCGGATTGCAAGTGCAAGGTAATTTTTTAGCCATCACTCTTATTGGCCTTTCTTGTTTATTTTCAAAAGAATGCCAGAGACAGTTGTTATCAGTGAATGTTTTCGTAATTTCTCTATACGCTTCGTCATTACAGGCGTTTACTTTGACGCTGTCACCATTCAAAATTTTTATCATGAAGGTTCCAGATGTTTGATTTAGTGTTAAAAAATCATAAAAATTTTGGTAGTTTTCCACGCCATCCACTATAATAGGAGGTGGTGGAGGAACTTTTTTCTTTTTTTATATTTTCAAACGACGAAAACTTCCTTATTTTGAGGTGAGAGTGTGGGTGACGTGTGCAATTTTCTTTTTTTCCTTGCCTTTGTTCTTTTTTTTGCACTTCATTGCACTTCGGCCGTCGCGACGGCTTGTTGTGAGGCGTTAGCACTTTGCACTGTTGCTACTCGCGGTCACGCGTAACACAACTGTTCTCAGCGAATATTGAACGATCACTGAAATCAAACATGAAAATCTTATTGAAATAATCATTATTAGTGAGAGGGCTGAATCTATAGTTTTCAGTATTTTTGTCTATCTGTCTGGGAATTCATTATGAGAAAACCACTGGACAGATTTTGGTAAAAATTAGTATGATGGTAGTTGGTTACCTTTTTTTTTTTTTAACGTTGGGAAATGCATTTACGCACGACGTGAGGGACTCACCGGCGTAATACAGCCAGTACTACCCACTAAAACCCAACAAAAGAGTGAGAGAGAGAGAGAGAGTAGTGGGCAGAGACCTTTTATTTAAATAAATAGTGTCTATATAGTTGGTTAAATTCATTTTGTTTTTATTTCCAAGTTTGTATATGTCAAAATAATGAAAAAATAATAATAATTAAAGATTATCTTGATTGTTAAAAGTGTATAATTTATTCTAACGTAAATTATGATAGGCAAATAGTCAAATACCAATACCTACACAAGGATTGCTAAGTTAATATCTGTTTGATAATTATCGGATAATTATCTGATAATTATCAAAAGATATATTTATCTTGATAATTTCATACCCTGCTTACTAGTACTTAAATTATAAATTTTCAGTTCCCACCAGTCTTGGAGGTGTAGCGCATGAGCGTGTGGTTACTCCCCCTGACTGGGTTCTTGACTACTGGCATCCTCTTGAAAAGGCCCAATACCCAGAGTACTTCAAACGCAGAGAGGAAAGGAAAAAGGAATTCATTGCTATGTGGGAAAAGGAATATGGCAAGCCTGATGAGAAAGACAAACACCATTGAATTGTATAGTTATTTATGTTAGTAAAGTAATTGATGTTGATAAAGATCAGACATGGTTTTATTTATAATTTCTGATAAAAAATTGGACATTTTTATCAGCTTTAATAGTATTGTGCTTATTTTTTGAGGTGAAAAGCCAAACAAACTATTATCAAAATTAAATTTCCTGTAAATATGAGAATGTTTTTTTTTATGTTAAGTTAAAAAAAAATGTATGAAATATTTGAATTACCTACTTTTTGAACAATTTAAAAATTAAATTGCAATTTTCACTCTACCACTATCCCCAAATTGCTTTTGAATTTTAGAAATAACTGTCTACAATACATACATAAACAGATTTCGATGAAGGCTATTCTTTGTTCCTACCCCCATGCGACCAGAGCTTTGTTTTTACATTAGAAAATGCACTTACACCTGCATACATACATCCAAGGCGTCGCAGGATCAGTAGCTCTAAGCCACGTCTGCCGACTGGCCTGCCGAACCAGACTACAACAACTAATTAATTCATCCACGATCCACTTTGCTATCAGAGAAATACCAAGTGCAACCCCAAGACAAGGTGAACACATCGTGGAGGCAATAGTGCGTGCCTGATCTAAGTGGAGTTCTTGACCGCTATGCGAAACATTTACTATTATAAATCCTAAGGTGAAACACCTGAAAGCCTTAAATGAAATTTAATATATATACAAAATATAAACTATGACCTAGGTCCTAGAGTAACACAGGCTATTAGGAGCCCACTCCATTGATGCACTTGAGCAAGTTGTAAGTATATTAGCTTAAATAAAATACAGTTGAACTTCATAACTTATTTATTGTTAAAACAACTATTGTTTATATAAAAATAATATGCTTTTGTTTATATTAAAAGGTAAAATTAATAACGTTACATCTCATTGTATAGGAGTTTTTAACGTGTTACAAATGTTATTTTATTTCATACTTTTTAAAAGGAAATAGTTATTAGATATCAAATTAAAACAAATGATCTTGTTCTATATGTGTAAAGTTTTTGAAAAAAAAAAGATTAATTAATAAATTAAAATTTAAAACTAAACATCAATGATAATCAAACATTTAATCTGATTATATTGCTAAAATTTTAAATAATTACAAATAATAGGAAATGAGTTAAATAATAAAATAGGTATAGTCAAAATTAGCAACAATACAAAATTTTCTTTTAAACTTTAGTATGTACTATATAGAACTTGTACAAACAAGTATTATTAGCGACATCTAATAACTATGTATTATGATCTATGGATATTTAAAATATTACACCATAACATCCACATCCATTTTGCTTTTCATTTATTTACTTTCACAACAATTTTGACAGTGTATTGTATAAAGGTTAATTTAAGAAGCAAAAGCATACACACAATTGTTAAAACATGCGTGTGCTTTTGCTTCGTGTTACAATACAAAAAAAAATTAAGTTCATTATAGATCACGTGACAATAGATTATAACATTTTCTATTACGCAAACCACACATCTAAATAGCTCAATTTTTTTATGTGATTTGTGTTAAATGGAACTTAAAACTTATTCGATGTTGGTCATCACTTTCTACGCAAAAAAATTAATATCCCATCAATTTTATGACAAGATGCACTTCATTCTCGTCAATACTTTTACATAACGAAAATGAAGTGCTCGCCATTTTTTAAAAAAACCACTATTTATATAAATACAAAAAGAATTAGTACTTAGATACCTCTAAACATCCCGCGGAATGTTAATATTATTAAACAAAAAACAGAAAGGTATGTTGTTTAAAATCAGTTTTTGCAGTTTTTTTTACACACACATAGGTTTAATTTGTCTCACCTTCCACGATTTGTTCAAAAGCAAACTGACTGGTGTCAAATGGTCTGGTGACTGGTCGTTAATCTTTTGCTATGTAAATAAAAAAAAGATCTAAGATAAAACAACAGTGGCATAGCAGTTTATTTGGTACACTTCAGTTCCCGCCCAATGTCTGGCCTCTGCCCCAGTTGTATCCCCCAAACATAGTCCCGGCGGGACGCGCGCCGGTCGCCGGCCTCGTTTGTGGCGCGCTACCAAATCCACCAACATAACGAGTTTCGGGGAAAATTTGTTTTCTGTAAAGAAAAGAATTTTTAATAGATTTAATAAATAGAAGGCAGTTTTATATGTCAGTCAGTCTGATGTAGCAGGTAAAAAATCTACTAATCTTTATATTCTCCCGATATATGCCATAGCTAAAGGGAACGTTATGAACTTATTATGCGATTCAATAGCACAGCAATACATATAGCACAGTAATAATATTACCAAAGTAATAGAAAAAAATATCCAAGTACTTACAAAAAGGCTGGTGGTGTCAAGAGAGCTGGTCCGCCAAACTCTTGTGGGTATTTGAACATTAGGAAAAATGACAAATGGCCAATGAGAATTCCAAGAAGCTCCATTACACCCCTATACAAAAATAAAATGAAGATGAAAATCTTAAAACTATGACTTCAATCACTTTTCTGATTGATTTTTTAGATTGTGCTAATTTTATATAAAGTACTACACTTTACATAAGTAAATTACAAGTCATAAAACTATACATAAATACAAATACTAAAAAATCGGGCCTATATTGGATTATTTTAATTAGCCTTAATGTTGCGGTAGCTTGGTAAAGCTAACACAACTTGATGGCTAAAGAAAATGCAGTCTATGTATATATAAAAAAAGATTTCGAAGAAAAAAATGTATTTTACTTTTTATTACATAATAAAGTACATATATGTAACAAAACGATATATATAATGCCATCTATTGATATTAGTTTCAACTAATTTCCCCTCATTACCATCCTTCAATTTTCCTTTAAAACGAGATATGATTATAAAAATATTATAAAATATATTTTAATCTTTTTTGACATTTCAGACATCTAAAACCTTAGTCTCTCCCGTGAGATTTTTTTATTTCCCATGATTTCTGTAAAGCATTTGAAATATCGGGAACCAAATATTACAATAAACCCACAAAAAAATTCAAAACAAAGTTTTATTTATAAAAGGTACTTAAATTGTCAAATATATATAATGTGCTACAGAGAAAATATAAATATATACATATAAGTCTATTTATATTAGGGAATATATTTAACTTACCCTCCGCTAATAACTAAATTGAAAGCAAGTAACACCCAGGGCAGGTACATGGCTTTGAAGCGAGTGCCAAACCAAAATGACACAATTACATCTTTGTTAAGCTGGCACCAAACATACAGTACTGAGAGTACCATGGGATCCATAAGGATCTGTAAGAAAAATTTTGAAGATATTATTATTAGTAGAAAGATTAAAAACAGTCTTATACTATAGGTGCAATGCATTATAAATATGTTATATGCTTTTCTTTTTAAAAGACCATAGAACCTTATTTTAGAATGCCTAAAGGAAGCTTTTTCATTTGCTAACCACAAAACAATCAATTATATGTAGTAAATCATTTTTTTTTTTAACTTTAATACAAAAGCTATGATACTAAAAATAGATACAATGTTGCAATATTTTTTTCGGTATAGAACTGTAAGGCACATCTATAATAACTCATTGGAAGAAAAATATACTTACAGGTAAATTAACCAAAAGGCCAATTATAACACAGCATAGCCAATTAAACAGCAGCATGTAACAGTAATCTGCAGGTTTACCAGCAAACATGCCTGATTCTAATCTTTGAGAGTAATTATAAAGAAAGTAACAGTTTATCAAAAAATGGAATCCAGTAGAGGGTCCTATAGGGTAATAAAATAGAGCTGTAATTGGGCGCCATATCTGAAAAAAAATAATTTATTACATTTTATTCTAATATATATGAACTTATTTAGTCATAATGAAAATAAATAATTTAAATGATACCAAAGATAACTGTCGAGTCAAATAGCAACAGGAAACTCATGAACTCCCACTCAAAATATATAGCACTAAATTAAAAAATATTACTAAAGTACATTCAAAAAATATTTGCCTTTATGAACAACTACATAAATAGAAAAACTTATATTCAATATTGTTTCACATTAATAAAACTTATTTCATAAGAATGAACTCTAATAAGAACCGATAATTAATTATTTGACAGAGAAAATAAAATGTTACTAATTACTATTCAAATAAGTGGGTTTGCTGATAGTCAATACACAATAAAAACAAATATAAGGTAAAAATTTATGAAAAAATACCTGGAACTGGTGTATGAAGGGATAGTAGTCCAAGATGAAATAATAATAACTTATTATTCCAAATCTTCCAATAATACTTAAACCTATTGTAAAAGTCAACCAATAACGAGTAAAATACGGTACACTGTTGTACCAGTCCTTGAATTCAGTCATTTTTACGAATTCTGATACAATATTCTATTTATTCGAAGACAACACTGTCCAACATTTAAATGTTTGTGACTTTTATTAAAAGATGATTCAAACAACACTAAATACAGCAAGTACACGTGTCCTTAGCGAATTAGTCCAACTCCAGAAAAGTCATAGAGTATATTGCTACTTAGATAAAAGAAAAGTCTTCTGTAAAAATGATATTGTTATTTTTTTGACGTTATGACGTAAAGATAGATGCGCTACGTATCAGCCACAGACTAAAAAGAGATTAAATATACAGATAAGTAACCCACAAAGCTCAGGCATAATATTAGCTAATAAGGAGTTAATGCCTATATATGACCTTCTAATGTTTTCTAGTAAGTGCACCGATTATTAATAAATACGTTTTATTCACATAATCAAATATAAACATTTATATCCGTTATTTTTTTTTCACATAATTTTGAAATCCATAGAGTTCTACATTGGCGGCCGGGCATTTGGCTTTTACTGCAAGTGACTTCAAAATCAAAATATGCTACCACGGACAATAATGTCTGTGTTTGCTACATTTCAACTCGCGATGAAAAACGGCAATTGTTACATATATAACTAGGTATAGCGTATTATACGCATAGAATTTTCGTTTTGTATATGTTAATGTTTAGATGTACAATAAGTATGACAAAAAAAATGCAGACTAAGTAAAAGAAGAAATATATCATCATGTATTGTAGTCACAAACTATATAGAAATGCTACATTGCAGTGTCACTTACACTAAAAAGCCGTAAGATATTTGTAATTAAGGCATTAAATTTTGTTGTGAATACATCTTTATACATATTTTTTTCAATATTGTGACGCAAATCGCAATTCAGAAAACTGATGTTAACAAGGTTCCAAATATAAAGTTCTGCGATATAAAGTCAAGGGTCTCGGGGGATACAATTTATGTGGCTATATATCTATCGTCTAGATTCAAAATTTTTAAATTCTTTACAAAGTAGGTATAAATGTATCACTATTGTATTAGTTTATTATAATATGATGTACACTATAATATTATTAAATATACTATCCATTATATATTATTCCAGTACATATTAAAAATTTAAAATATCTATATAATGATGAATCCTATTCTCCAGCTAAAGAATTTAGGAAAACTTAAAAGTTAAAAAACAAAATATATTATGTTTTAAAGGCTTTCTGTAGAATCCATGTATATTATAACGATTTATGCAGTAATTTTTATCTTAAACAGTATTAATAATAGCATAAATAATAATATTTCTTAGTAAAATCTGTTACGCTACGTAAAAGACGTTAAGGTGAATTTTTTTTCCAAAATAGTAGATGAAGATTAAATTTTGGTTTAAAAAAATCAATAAAATTTTGAGTTGATATATTTCTTTTAATTCAGTTTTGTATAAAATATGTCTCGTTGTTTTAAAATCAAGTGCCCATATTACTATAAAACTTCTTGATGAAATTCAACATCGATTTTTGTTATCATATGTAAAAAGGACTGTTTGACATATCAAGTTACAACTTTTACAGCTGGTGCTAGAGACTCGAAAATAAAACCAATTTGCGTTTTTGTGTTACTGAAATATATCTCCTAAACTACTTGAAGGATTTCGGTGCATTTTTGCTAATATTTTGTAGAGTTTCTTGAGGAAAGTTCATATGTAATAAGTAAATAAATTCATGGAAAAACTTTTTAACAAAAAAAAATAAAAACCGACTTCAAACAAAAGCACTAAAAAGTAAAAAATAACTGATTGGTAGTTTTCATTTACTATACATACCTAATCAAATATTTTCGAAGTCGGTGTGCTTTGCTTTGTATGGGCTGGTACCGATTTCGAAAATATTTGATTAGGTATGTATTTAATGGGTAGGCTTTAATTACTTAGCCAAAGCACACCGACTTCGAAAATATTTGATTAGGTATGTATAGTAAATGAAAACTACCAATAGTTATTTTTTACTTTTTAGTGCTTTTGTTTGAAGTCGGTTTTTATTTTTTTCTTAAAAAGTTTTTATTTTTCCCTTTTTAGTGTAGACAGTAGTAGCAAAGTAAGAATTCTAACGTGTTAGGCTTGTCGAATCAAACAAAATAAGCCCAAGCTCAAAGTATCTACTATTAGCCGTTGAAGAGTTCCACCTATCCACCTTCTGGCCTTACCATCAGATCAGGTCAACAATACCGAACCACTGTACTATCAACGGAAATAGAAACACTTGCAAAGTTTCAAGTCAATATGACAATTAGAAGTAGGTTAAATCCATCATTAGCTATTTTTCCACCCTTAGGGGTGGTATTTTTTTTTTGAAATTTAAATGGGACCAATCTGGAAGTATACCCTTTCAAACAAAACAAAAATTGTCCAAATCGGTTAATAAATGACGAAGTTCTGAGGTAACAAACATAAAAAAAAATACAGTCGAATTGAGAACCTCCTCCTTTTTGAAGTCGGTTGAAAATTTAACCCATAAAAAACATCAATGAATACTAAACGACAGTAAATACATTATTTTGTGTTAAAATTAGTACTATTCAATATTTACGGTCAAAAAATATATATTGTTCTATATAATAGCATTCTATAGGCAACTTAGTAGGATAATACTAAAAAATAATTTTGGCCAGCTTTTTCGATCAAATACTCCACAGTGCGGCGTAAAATATCCGTCTCGGTAAATATAAGCTCACTTGCAAAGTGAGCGTATATTTCGATTAGTTCTATTGAAATACTGCCAGCGTAAACACGTCCAAAATGCCGCAATTATTATTTAAAAGTTACAAAAATATTAAATATTGCACGAAGAAGAAAGTTTTCATACGGAGTGTCTTTTTTTCGGTAAATACGAGTAGATTAATGGTCGATTTCACCAACGTCACCTAAGTTTAAGGGATCCCCTAAGCATAGTTAGGGGACTGTTAAGGGACAGTTTCTGTTTCACCGACAGTTAGGGGTCACCTAAATGTTAAAATGCCCCCTAAATATAGGTACTAGAAATACGATCGATCATATGACGATGGTAAAACGAAATTTAATTTAAGAGAAATAATATAAAAATGAAATTTCAAACAATTTTAAATCCGCTAAGAACGTTGGCGCAGGTCGGCCAATATAGGCGCAAAGTCTAAAAGCAAACAGAAACAAAACAACGATTTAGCTCACAAAGTAACAACGGGAAAAAGTACATAACTTTTTTGATTTATGGTTGACTAGCATTGCCCGCGGCTCCGCCCACGTTCAGATGACCAAAAACCAAATTCTTAGGTTTTACACATTAGTATACCCTTACATTGCAGTTTTTGTATTTTTTCTCAGAAATGAGATATTTTTCCGCAGTAAAAGGTATCCTATATGTTGACCCGGATAACCAGCTATCAGCATACCAAATTTCATCAAAATCCCTTCTGTGGTTTTTCTGTGATGCGGTAACAGACAGACAGACAGACAGACAAACAGACAGACAGACACACAGACAAAAATTCTAAATACTATATATTCGGCCTCTGTATCGAAAATAATGTTTATTTTAATAAGATTTTCCAAAAAATATTTAATGTACAGATTTGGCTTAGTTACACTTTTATTATATGTATAGATTTTACAATAAAGATTATAAAACTTACGAAATGGTCGTAAGTGTATGATGTAATAAATTGGGTTATAAAAAATATAAAATAAGGGAAAATTTATTCATGCATACGTTTCGGCAAAAACTATAGGTATCCGAAAAGGGCACACTTTGGCTTGGATTCTGGAATATAAAGGGTAGAGGTAATTTTGTTCTATATAGCAATAGTCCTCTATGGGAGTGTATATAATGTACAGTTAGAGGTATCCCAGTATATTTAAAGCATGGATGACAAAATTTAAAGTTACTTTATGAAGTATCTCTACTTGAGAAATGAGAATTTCTATTCTCTATGTATGCATAGAGTATATAAACCTTAACGTAGACGACTCCGTTCACGTTTTGTTCTATAATCTGTACTTGGAGTTGGATTGTCTCAGTCATGGATGACAAATAAAAGTCTCAGTCTCATGTCTGCTAATGCTGTCAAACTGCTAATAAAATAAACATAACCTATCCGTAAAATTTTAGCCGAAAAAAGCAAACATTGACATTTATTATTTTGTATTGCAAAGTTTATATTGCTACCTTGTTATTCCTGGTCTGTGATTGCTACATTTGAAAGTAAAATATAAAAAAATGCGGAGCTTATTTAGAAAATTCACTGCATTTAATAATTTATCTTTTGCGAGAATAAACACTGTCAGACTTGCTTCTTCTAAAAGTGATACTCAAAAAGAAGATCCAAAGAATGTTGAAGAAATTAAAAAAAGTAAATTTAATGCATAAGAACAATATTACGACTGTTTTATTTGTAGAAATATAATATGTCTATTCTATAATAATAGTTCTACTTTGTAATATGTTGACCTTTTTAATCCATTTTTTAATTTTAAAAGTTTTTGCCTAAACTAACTTTTCCTAAGTGTAGTGAGTCTAAAGATTTGTTTGTTTCTGACAGACATTGTTGTGGAAAAGTATGGAGGTGTTACTACTCTAAATATTGATCGTCAAAAGACTCGCAATAGTCTTGATGAAGCTACCCTTAGAGAAATGACTGATGCTATCAATGCTTTTGATAAAGATAGTGAAGCTAAAGTCCTGGTCTTCAATGGGGAAGGTGGAAGTTTCTGTTCAGGATTTGATATGGATGAAGTTGGAGAAAAAGGCTATCATACATTAGTAGATGCAGCTGTAAGTATTTTAGATAGCTATAGAAGCATATAAAATTTTTTACTAAAACATTATGAGCCACAGTGGCTTATTGTTGAAGCTGTTTATTATTTAAAAAGTAACTTTTACAAGATGAGAAGCTATTGCTTCTTTTCAGTAATACCAATACTCAGCTAATGTCAATGTAATATTTGAATAAAAAATAATTTTATTAATTTATTATTTATTACCTATCAGTCACGGCTCCTGAGAAGGCCATTATGTGACAAACCCACAATAGCTGCAGTAGCAGGATATGCAGTGGGTGAAGGCTTTGAACTAGCACTAGCTTGTGATTTACGAGTTATTGAAGATACTGCTGTTTTGGGATGTCTTGGGAGAAGATTTGGTTAGTATGAGAATATACATACATAATTTTACTCAGGAATGCTTATAATATATAATAGTATATGGTAAGCAAGGTCCAGGGTGGGATAGATGTTGAGTAGGTGTTACTAAGAAGAGTAGTTTATATAATATATTAAATATTTTGAAGAAACAAAATAAAGTGTTATTATGGAGGCTTAGTTATGACTTTGAACTTTCTTATAATTTATTATGACTTTTTTTTTTTTTTAACGTTGGGAAATGCATTTACGCACGACGTGTGGGACTCACCGGCGTAATACAGCCAGTACTACCCACTAAAACCCAACAAAACCTTCCCCCGTCTTACTGGGGCGTCGCAGGATCGCTTACGCATTCAACTACGACGCCCCGACGGCAGGTCCGCCGAAGCAGACCACCACAACCATGGGGTTGCTCCAAGGTCCATTCTGCTATCAGAGAAGTACCAGGAGCAACCTGCATGGTACACCACCCCCCGAAGAGGGCCACTTCCCACCAAAGTGGGCAACCTCCCTGTGCGTTTCTTAGCTTCGCGCCCGGTTGGGTTGCCGGGCACTACTGAGCCCCCCCACCACGACAAGGTGAACGCACGTTGGGGGGGATTATGACTTTCCCACTTCAACTCATTCCATCTTTTTTATTTTGCTTAATGCTTCATTTTCTAGCATAAATAATACCTGTAGATTTAGTTAGAATATATATAACATAATCATTTTTTTTAAATAAAATATCAAGTCTAAACTATCCAGTTCTATTCAACTTGGTTAGTATATATGTCTAATTATTTATTAGATGAACAAGAAATTAAATATTCATGGATAAGTTGGATGAAGCCTTTCAGTGTAAGGGACCTAAAGATTAATGCTACATATTTTTTTTAATTTATGATCACTGTGAATCTCATACTATTTAATCTTAAATTAATCTAATCATGTGTGTACATATACAGCTCTTATGAATGTCCCACTGCTGGGCATTGGCACTTCAATAATAGGGGATCATGCCATAATCCTGGGTTACCACTGCTCACTTCTTATATATATAATTTTATCATAATTATGTATTTATTACAGGTGCTCCCCAAAGTCTGTATGGTGGAAGACGATTAACATCTCTCATTGGCCTCTCCCGAGCCTTAGATTTATTGATCACAGGTCGGCCAATATCAGGGGCTGATGCTAATATTATGGGTCTGGCTTGCAAATTAACTACCACAGGCACTGGTAAGATAATTATAAAATATTTATAAAAAAATGTGGTGACAGCAATCAGTATTAAAGTCCACGCTAATATTATAAATGTAAAAGTTTGTGAGGTTAGATGGATGGATGTTTGTTACTCTTTCACGTCAGAATGGCTGATGGATCTGGATGAAATTTGTCACAGAAATAGATTATAGTCTGGAATAGTTAATAGGTTACTTTTTATCCTGGAAAAATGTACGGTTCGCGTGGGATAGATTTGTTTTTATCTAGGGACGAACCCGAGTAAGCAAGAGTGAGTTGCTATTAAATTTTTATATTTAGCACATTTTTTTACAGCTCTTGGTGAATCTATAAAATTAGCAAAATCGTTAAACAAATTCCCACAAAATGCTCTAATAATGGACAAGCTGGCCGCTGTCAATTCCCAACTTAATCCAAACAGTGAGGAGAGTATGCGAGACGAAGCTGTAATGCAGAGTTTGTTGGGTTACGCTATTGATGATTTGAATAATGGTATTAAGAAGTTCCAAGGAGGTTAGTATTTGTTTATGTATTTTTTTTGTTTCATTCCACCTTTAAGATAAACAGAAACACTATAAGCAAATAGTTTTCAAAATTTTCTAAAATGACTGAAGCTATCTCAATTCAATTACCTGTTTTATTATTATTTACTGGAAACTCACCCTCGCTCCGCTCGGGTTTGTCCCTTAGTACATTTTAACGGTTAGTATAGTTATTTAGAGGTGAGATATTTTCCTGCAGTAAAAAGTATCCTATATGTTGACCCGGATAACCAGCTACCATCATACCAAACTTCATCAAAATCTGCCCTGTGGGTTTCTCGTGATGCGTTCCCAGACAGAGAAACGAAATATTTAAAAACTATAAATTTGGCGTCTGTATCGATAATAATAACTATTTCAATAAGATTTTCCAAAAAATATTTAATGTACAGATTCGGCTTAGTTAGAATTTTATTATATGTACCTATAGATTGTACTATTGTAGTTTTAGGCGTGCTAGTTGTTACACTAAGAAATAAACTATAAGCAGCAGTGATCAATTTATCGTTTCGAAGAATGTATTATGTTTACTTATATGTGTATGTAATTATATTATTTACAGGTATAGGAAAACATGGCAAATTCTACAAACTAACAGAAGTACCCCTTAAAGATTGGGAACTTGAAGAGTCTTTTGAAGAAACAGTCAAAATTGACGAAGACAAAGATAAAAAACCTTAACATGTTAATTTGCCCCAGTTCTTAGTTATTGTTGTGATCCTTTAAAATTAAATGCTTATTATTTATTCTACTAATAAACTAACAAACTATTATAACTCGTTTTTTTTTAAATTTAATGTCTACCTGCTGCTTACCAGCTACACGAAACTGCTTTCGTGTTGTTGCCTTTTCCAGGGTTTCATAGTCAGAATACAAAATCCCTTACATTTGCTAGGTACTACCTTCTAAATTATTGGATGGAAAATTGTAAAAAAAATTAAGAGAGTAAAACTTTTAAGAAAACACTGCAAATTTACGATTATCATATTTTTACTACTAGTTACGACACTTTAAAGATGATGAAAATATATAACTTAGATACGTAAATATATCACTTTATTTATTAAGCTAACAATTTACGTAGGTATATAAAACAAACCCGGTACGGAACATTCGAGGCGGAAGGTGGACTCGAAATTGTTTATAAAATAACAAAGTTACATGATTTATTACTAAATAATAGAATATTGAAAATATTAAAACTGCAACATTTTTGTAACTATGTAATTTTCGTGTTGTCTCAAAAATAAAACAAAAACGTGATTTAGCATTATTTATTCAAGACCTTATTAATACAGATATAATCATTCATCCTTCAACCCCTTCTCCGCCTGATACTTGTAGTGCAAGTCCGAGCAGTCCTCATTAGAGACATTGACCCAGCCCTTTTCGCTGATGTGGTATACTCTGATGATGCCTCCAGAGTAGGCGTCACGGTGTGTCGCGTGATAGATAGCACGACGACCAAGCTCTGTTAATAAAGTTAAGATATATAATAATATAAAAAAATAGCACTGGAAAGTCATTTTTCCAAGACACATTATGTGTAAACATAAATACAATATAATTTGGTACATACATATAATTTAGGCTGTAAACGCATATGTATTAATAAAATTGAGATAAAAAAATATGCAACAGAACAGTTAAAAAATAATATGGATTTAGTAATAATTCATAGTGTAAAGATTGTTTTATTGCTAGGATAATCAATAATAGGATTAATCTTTTACTTAAGCAGCTCACCCTTTTTACTTGGATTCATCCCTAGGTAGCTTAATGGTTAGTGTGGAATACACTATCTATACTAATATTATAAATGTGAAAGTTTGTAAGTATGGATGTTTCTTATTTTTTTGTGCCAGAACGGCTTTACGGATCTGGATGAAATGTGGCACAGAGATATATTATGATTTGGAATAACTTTTTATCCCAGAAAAATATATAGGTATTGTTCCCCAAGGGATAGATTTGTTTTGTTTTTCTAGTAATATATACATAGGTATGATGAGTTACTGTGGGTTGTATTATCACATGTTTTCCCATGCAAATGAGATAATTTCCTGCAGTAAAAAATAAACTTCAACTATCTAAACATAAAAAACCACACAAATCCGTCACTCTGTTTTGACATCAAAGAAGGACAGACAAACACACTTTCACATTAAATCTTGTAATGATTCACAACTCATAATATGGCATATGCTATAGCTCAAGCAAGAATTGTTTTTCTTTGTGTCTATTAGTAACTGATAAAATAATAATTGCTAAAACTAAGGCAGAACCATAAAGTTGAATGATAAGCTGTTTTAACTGACTTCCAAAACGGAGGAGGTTGTCAATTCGTCGGAATCTTTTGTTTTTTTAAACATATAAGTATTTTTAACTACCTTGTGCTTCAACATCTTCTAAGTCCCAGCTGTATCCAGAATCCAAGACACCAAAGGCATACACAGATCCAGAGCCTACAGAGAACACTTTGCCCGGAGTGCGAGTTCCTTCACTGTCTACATAATAGAGTTGGGCACCCTGAAATAAATCAGAACTGTAGTACTGATTGTTGATAGATAAAAATTTTATCAACCGACTTCAAAAAGGAGGTGGTTCTCAATTCGCCTGTATTTTTTTTGTTTTTTTTTTTTTTTTTTTTTTTTTTATGTTTGTTACCTCAGAACTCCGTCATTTATTGACCGATTTGGACAATTTTTGTTTTGTTTGAAAGGGTATACTTCCAGATTGGTCCCATTTAAATTTCAAAAAAAAATACCACCCCTAAGGGTGGAAAAACAACTAATGATGAATTTAACCTACTTCTAATTGTCATATTGATTTGAAACTTTGCAAGTATTTCTATTTCCGTTGATAGTACAGTGGTTCGGTGTTGTTGACCTGATCTGATGGCAAAACCAGAAGGTGGATAGGTGGAACTCTTCAACGGCTAATAGTAGATACTTTGAGTTTGGGCTTATTTTGTTTGATTTGACAAGCCTAACACGTTAGAATCCTTACTTTGCTACTACTGTCTACACTAAAAAGGGAAAAATAAAAACTTTTTAACAAAAAAATAAAAACCGACTTCAAACAAAAGCACTAAAAAGTAAAAAAATAACTGATTGGTAGTTTTCATTTACTACATACCTAATCAAATATTTTCGAAGTCGGTGTGCTTTGGCTAAGTAATTAAAGCCTACCTATTAAATACATACTTAATCAAATATTTTCGAAATCGGTGCCAGCCCATACAAAGCAAAGCACACCGACTTCGAAAATATTTGATTAGGTATGTATAGTAAATGAAAACTACCAATCAGTTATTTTTTTACTTTTTAGTGCTTTTGTTTGAAGTCGGTTTTTATTTTTTTGTTAAAAAGTTTTTATTCTTTTTGTATACACATTACTAAAAAAATATTTAATACTTTACAAAACTATCTTTCCAAATTTTTTCACAGATTATTTTTATTTTTGATTCCTGAGGTTTTTTTTCTACTGTGACCATTATTGCTGTCAAGTATTAAAAGCACCAGGAACCAAAAATCTAAATAAATCTGCAATAAAAACCAAAACAATAGTTTTATTAAAAAAAATATTTTCTATAAAAAATTGTAATTACTAAGTAATTATTGCCAAATAAGTAAGTAAACAATACATACTCTTTTATCAACCCCAGCAAGCATCATGCCCATGCTTAGGCCCATGCCTTTATAATTATAGACCATATTGGCCATCAGTTTACTAGCTGCTGCTACAGAGATGCGCTCACGGTTACGTAACTCATACAGTCTGCATTGTTTTGCTAGGACTCTATCCCAATATACACAATCTGCTGCACCACCAGCCAGAGTACCTGAAAGTATTGTTTTTTTTTTAAGATATTGTTTCTTAGATATCATAAAAAAATGATTGAGTAATAGTAATTACTTACCTAGTAAATAATCATTGATTTCGACAATCTTTTTCATTGATTGTGATCCAATGAATTGACCTCCAGTAGCTCTGGAGTCTACAGCAAGCAGAACTCCTCCCTATAAATGTAATAATTATTTTATTATTGCTCGTCTTTATTTTAATTTTGGAAAAACTACAATTATTTATTAAAATACAACAACTAAATACAAAACCTACTTTGTATCGGAATCCAAGTGTTGTAGTACCATGGTCGAACTCAATTTTGATTTGACGGCCAGTCTCATCTTTCGTATTAAACTGTGCTAGAGTTTCAACTGGCTAAAATAATAAAACATAATTTATTATACAGAAAATATACGAGTACTTATTTATTTCGGCATAATAACCTTTACTTACGTTTGCAAACGGTGGGGTTGCAAGTTGGACACAATTGTTGAAATTTTGAGTATATCCCAGTACATCATTATTGATAGATACAAGAGAATCACTAGCCTTCAAGTTAATTTTCTCATCTAAGCGACACAGGTCTAGCAAAGCCATATTTGTTTTTAAATTTTTATTTAAGACCTTTACTCTTTAGAAAAAAACTTATTTTCGGTATGGAACTATGGAATGACAAGCGAAAATAAAATGCTAAATAACGCTCAAGCAATGTCAACTGTCAAAAGGAAATACAGACATCATAAAAATAGGATACATGACCATTTAACAAATGACTTATATTTCATGGTAATTTCAAAAAAAATATTATTTAATATAATTATTAATAGTATTCATCTGCGTGTTAAAATTATATTATTATAGTAATATTTCTTAAGTGTAGATTCAGCCCTCAAAATGGCTACCCATAGCCACCTTTTGTTTGCACATAACCATCACACAGTAGTCTATCTATACATATAATAAAATTCTGAGTCGAATCTGTACATTAAATATATTTTGGAACATTTTATAGAAAAAGTCATTATTATCAATTCAGAGGCCAAATCTATAGTTTTTAGAATTTGTCTGTGTGTGTGTCTGTCTGTCTGTCTGTCTGTTTGAGAACGCACCACGAGAAAACCACGGGACAGATAATGATGAAATTTGGTATGTTGATAACTGGTTATCGGAGTCAACATATAAGATACTTTTTACTGCGGGAAAAATTCTCATCTTTGAGAAATCCATACTAAAAGTTATAAAATAAATACATTGTAAAAGTTTGTTTTATAAAAGAGTAAGTAAGTTAGACTGACCTTTATAACTCTTACATACAATAAATTATTTAAATTATAACAATTATATCGACTACTAACTACTACTATTATACTTATTAAGAATATTATCATGAATGTATTTCTAGTAATAGCTATTCAATACAAGATGGCAGCTTTACAGTAATAAAGAAATTATGTTAGACTTTCTGTCAATAGATGGCGTTACTATCAATAAAAGCATTTAACTCTTAAAGAAGTGACTTCGCAAAATGTGAACCGATTTTTATCACTCTTATTTTAATAACTACTTACTTCAAGAACATAATATTTCAAGAATAAATGCAACCTTATTTTATGCTTATTTTGAAGGAAATTGAAGTTATAAATTGATAATAATGAATAAAAAGATATATTTTACTATTTTCTATTTCTGTTAAAAATAAAAATACAATTCTTTTACTTAACAATTTATGTCATTGAAAATGTATTTTATTAATTCATAATATATATACATATGGCGCACATCTATACTACGTAGTGTTCGCTGAATCACGGTAATGTTATGACGTTACCGTGGTCGAGTGCTCGAGATTCAACCATAATTATTTTTGAAAATATGATAAAAACATAATGAATACCATTTTTTACCTATGTAGGTATGTATAAAAAACTGAAAAAAACTATTGAACAAAAAAAAGTAAAACGGTTGACAAACAGAGTAGAAAAAGGTACTGAGCTGCTTTGTCTTTAACTATTTATATGAAAAAACTTTTTAACAAAAAAATAAAAACCGACTTCAAAAAAAAACCACTAAAAAGTAAAAAATAACTGATTGGTAGTTTTCATTTACTATACATACCTAATCAAATATTTTCGAAGTCGGTGTGCTTTGCTTTGTATGGGCTGGCACCGATTTCGAAAATATTTGATTAGGTAGGTAGTATTTAATAGGTAGGCTTTAATTACTTAGCCAAAGCACACCGACTTCGAAAATATTTGATTAGGTATGTATAGTAAATGAAAACTACCAATCAGTTATTTTTTACTTTTTAGTGCTTTTTTTTGAAGTCGGTTTTTATTTTTTTGTTAAAAAGTTTTTATTTTTCCCTTTTTAGTGTAGACAGTAGTAGCAAAGTAAGGATTCTAACGTGTTAGGCTTGTCAAATCAAACAAAATAAGCCCAAACTCAAAGTATCTACTATTAGCCGTTGAAGAGTTCCACCTATCCACCTTCTGGCCTTGCCATCAGATCAGGTCAACAACACCGAACCACTGTCCTATCAACGGAAATAGAAATACTTGCAAAGTTTCAAGTCAATATGACAATTAGAAGTAGGTTAAATTCATCATTAGTTGTTTTTCCACCCTTAGGGGTGGTATTTTTTTTTGAAATTTAAATGGGACCAATCTGGAAGTATACCCTTTCAAACAAAACAAAAATTGTCCAAATCGGTTAATAAATGACGAAGTTCTGAGGTAACAAACATAAAAAAAAAACATACAGTCGAATTGAGAACCTCCTCCTTTTTGAAGTCGGTTGAAAACTAGCGACCTTAGGTTGATTCCCCATACAAACTTTTATCCCTATTTTCACCCCCGTGATGAATGTTTTCCGGGATAAAAACTCCTATGTCTAGGACATACCTATCCCAAGGACTCTAATTATCTCATTACCAAATTTCATCTAAATCGGTTCAGTAGTTCCAAAGATTATTTCCTACAAACAAACTTACAAACTTTACCTCTTTATAATATTAGAATTAGAAGATATTATCTAGAAAAAGTCTTAAGGTAACGCTACAACTCTCAGACCAAAATTTTACATTTATTAAGTATGTCTTAGTAACTGCGAATAAATTATTTATTCGTAAGTTTTAGAAGTAAAAAATGTATGACTGTTATAAATTTGACTTCCTATGCTTTCTCAAAAAATGTATCGTCAAAAGTAATCAATTTTTCAATCAGCCATTTTCGAGGATCTCAATGAAAACATTTTTTTATAATTTTTGTATTCTATAAATATTATATACAAAATAGCATACATATTTCAGTTGATTTATTTTCAATTATTTTACTTATATGTATGTACCTATATCAACGTTTTAAGTCATTTTTATCTAAGTAGGTATGCATATTGTATTGTATTCAGCCCTTTTTAACGTCCCACTGCTGGGCACGGGCCTCCCTTCAGTACGAAGGGGATCAGGCCATAGTCCACCACGCTGGCCATGTGCGGGTTGGCGTACTTCACATGTCTTTCGAAAACTTGCTGGGTTCTCTCAGACATGCAGGTTTTCTCACGATGTTTTCCTTCACCGTAAGGCAAATGGTCATCATGTTAGAAATGATTCGCACATGAAAATATCAGAGGTGCGAGACCCGGGATTTGAACCCGCATCACTCGGTTTTCCAAGCGAGCGCGTTACCACTGGGCTACCACTGCCTATAATTGCATATTAAGTGTAATTAATAGATAGATAACAACGAAGCTAAAGGCTTATAAATTAATGGGCAAAGAATAACGGTTTAAGAATTATAAAATTCAGTGAATGCAGAATTATCGAATGAATAGCTAAGTTTAAACCTGTCATTATTCTATGAGTCAGAATCATTTACATAATTTTCTTCACAAGGGACGGGGACGTGACGACAATTTTACGATGTTAGACACGATTGTCTGTTGTAAGTAATATATGTATGTGCGATTTACCCTCGCGTCGCTCGTCTAGGTACGTTTTAATTTTTTTGAGCGGGACCCTAATTTTTTTCCTAAAATAAAAGTAGCCTGAGTTACTTTTTATGACATCAGCTATTTGCCATTGAAAGTACCGTCAAAATCAATTTAGCCATTTCGGAGAGTAGGCGGAACAAACAGACAGACAGATAAAATTTTTCTTATGAGTAGGTACTGTATATAATTATACCTTAAACGCATTTAGTAATAAGCTGTTATTTTAATTTTACAAATAGACACTTCTATTTTATTTATCTATATACATAGATTAGAAGTGTGCTAAGTAGTTGATGCTTGAACGCTTTTATTATTTGTCAAAGGTACAAACATAGTACCTACTTATAATATAGTAGCAAATGGCGTAAAACTATTTAGATATTGGTTTTTGTAGAAGAATCAAATATAAGAAGACGTATTTCTTCATTTTATAATAATAAAAATTGAACTTTGATTCCTAAGCTAATAAGTATATAATAATTTAATTTGTTTCATTGTTGTTTTTAAGTGGAAATTAAATTAGAAGCAATATTACATGTCCAATATTTTTTACTTATTATAGGTTTAAGATTTTAAACATTATTATTCGTATTTATAAAATTATATCAAATCACCTTTTTATTTCTCTTTTTTCTTTATGGCTTAGAGCTGCGTTCACCTTTTTATTTCATAAGATATTAAATTTAGCATGTAGAATTTTTTTTATTTAAAAAAAATATATAGAGTTGATAGTCCGTGAGGATTATTAAAGCATGTCATGCAAATCTTCTAAGTAGGTCGGACAAAAATCTAAATTTGCTCTTTTAAATATTTAGTAACAAAAGTATTAAGACAATATTACGACAGCTATCTCGAATAAGAGTGAATTAAGCTTAATTAGAGGCTTAAATTCGTTATCTTACAAAAAAATATTTATCGACTCTATCTAATGTATCATTAATTTAATCATTTCAAGCTAGAATCGAACCGAAATAATCTCCGGCGTGATAACAATCCTATTCATATCAATAAATGTTTAAAGCAAAATTCACAAATGAAAGCTGCAATTTTAGACATAGTCAGTGCCATTCTAATAATATTTTCACCTTAAATTGTACTTCAATTTAATTGGATCATTATGTTTCCTATTAATTTTTTATAGAGATATACGATACGTAACATGAGATATAATAATTAATTAGAAAACTATAAGGCGTAATACCTTTAGATTAGGAGTGACTCTGTCATAGTCTGCGCTATGTAGTTAAATAAATTCATTTTATCGAACGGCGATGCACTCTGTTTTACTGGTCTAGAGTATTACAGATAGAGACAGTACATATTATTGAGACTAATAGAACTCATACTATTCGATATTACTCTCTCGACGCCTTTTACCGATTAAAGAGCAAATATTTGATTGTAACACGGTAGCTTACGCAAATTTTATCCATTGATTTAGCATAGGATGGCTTAGAAATTCATACGTTCAAACAAACATAAAAATGGATTAGAGTAATTTAAGTGATTTAGAAAAATCTAAACTTTGCTTTATTTTTAATTTATACGAACACGAACGAATTTTTTTTAACGAAAATAAATATATTCGAAAAAAAACCCAAATAAAAATA